AGAATGACTTATATTCTTATAAATTTGACTTAGTTCTCTATATATTTTAGAAATGAGGCCCTTATCAGAGACACTGGTTGTAAAAATTCTTTACCAGTTTTCTGCTTCCCTTCTAAGCTTGGTTGTATTGGCTTTGTGCAAAAACTTTTCAATTTAATGTAATCAAAATTATCCATTGCATTTCATAATGTTTTCTAACTCTTGTTTGGTCATAAATTCTTCTGTTCTCCATAAATCTGACAAGTAAACTATTCCTTACTCTCCCAGTTTACTTATAGTATCAGCCTTTATATCTAAATCATGTATCCATTTTGACTTTATTTTGGTATATGGTGTAAGATTTTGCTCTATACCTAGTTTCTTTTCCAGTTTTCCCAGCAGTTTTTGTCAAATAGTGCGTTCTTATCCCAGAAGCTGGGGTCTTTGGGTTTGTCAAACAGTAGATTACTATGTGTCTTGCGTACCTAACCTATTCCACTGATCTACCACTCTGTTTCTTAGCCAGTACCAAGTAGTTTTGATGATTGTTGCTTTATAATACAATTTAAGGTGGCTAGGCCACCTTCCCTAGCATTTTTCATTAGTTCCCTTGATATTCTGGACCTTGTGTTATTCTGAATTAATCTTGTTATTATTTTTTTTGGCTCTATAAAATAGTTTTTTGGTAGTTTGATTGGTATGGCACTGAATAAGTAAATTAGCTTAGGTAGAATTGTCATTTTTATTATTATTAGCTCAACCTACCCATGAGCAACTGATGTTTTTCCAATTATTTAGATCTGACTGTATTTGTGTCAAAAGTGTTTTGTAATTGTGTTCATATAGTTCCTGGGTTTGTTTTGGCAGGTAGACTATCAAATATTTTATAATGTCTACAGTAACTTTAAATAGAATTTCTCTTTCTATCTCTTGCTGTTGGGCTTTGTTGGTAATATACAGAAACACCCATGATTTATGTGGGTTTGTTTTATAGCCAGCAACTTTGCTAAAGTTGTCTATTATTTCAAGTCATTTTTTACTTGATTCTCTAAGTATATCACCATATCATCTGTAAAGAGTGATAACTTTGTTTCTTCTTTGCCTATTCTAATACCTTCAATTTCTTCTTCTTCTCTTATTGCTAAAGCTAACATTTCTAGTACCATATTGAACAACAGTGGTGATGATGGACATCCTTGTTTCACCCCTGATCTTATTGGAAATGCTTCTAGCTTATCCCTATTACATATAATGCTTGCTGATGGTTTTAGATAGATGCTACCTATCATTTTAAGGAAGACTCCATTTATTCCTATTCTCTCTAGTGTTTTTAATAGGAATGGATCCAATTCTTCTTTTAAAGGAGTTCTTTTCTTCATGGAATTTTTGTGCCTCTTTTACCATTAGGTCAGTTCTGTTTTTAAGGTGCTATTTTCTTCAGTATTTTTTGTGCCTCTTTTTCCAAGCTGTTAATTCTCTTTTAATAATTTTCTTGCATCACTATCATTTCTTTTCCCAATTTTTCCTCTACCATTCTTATCTCTTTCTTTAACTCTCCCAGGAATTCATGCTGGCCTTGGGTCCAATCAGCAGTTTTCTTTGAGCCTTTGCTTGTGGCTGTTGTCATGTTGTTATCCTCTTCTGAGTTTATGTCTTGTTTTTCCCTGCCACTGTAATAAGTTTTTATAAGTTGTTGTTGTTAATGTTTGCTCATTTTTCCAGCCTATTTCTTGACTTTGGACTTTATGTTTAGGTTGGGCTCTGCTCACCTTGGGCTGGGGAGGCACTGTATTAAACCTTAGGCTTTTTTTGTGCTGCTGTTTTCAGAGCTTGTTCTGGGATTCTGCAAGTTTTCAATGTTTTTGTGGTTGGTGTTAATCTGGGAGAGGTGTGGTCACTGCTCTCCTGGTCTGCACTCTACTCTTTACTCAGGAAGGACCCCTGCTTCCCTGCAGCTGCAAGTACTAGTGTGCCTCTTGGCCCTGCAACTGTGACCAGATCCCTTGCTCCCTTGTGACTGATCACAAGCACTCCTCTCCACACTGGAACTTTGACCCACAACTGCAAAAGGGCAATAAAGTTGCCAATCAGTGCTAGCTGCACCCAGTGCCAGCAAAGAGTCCCCTGCAATCTCTTTCTGACCAGTTTCTGGCTCTGGGCTGAGAGCTCCTGAAGCTGCTACTGCTGCTGTGGTGGCTGCCTCCAAGGTCCACAACTGCTATTCTCAGGGCCTGTGCCCACCCTGGTGTTATAAACCTCTCCTGCTGACCTCCTGAGTTGGTTAAGACTGCATAAATGCCTCCCTTTGACCTTTTGTTGGCTCTGCTGCTCCAAAATTTGATTTGAGGTATTACTTCAAAGTTGTTTGGAGAGGAATATTGAGAACTCAGCTGGGTCTCGGCCTATACTCTGCCACCTTGGCTCCACTCATATCTGACACAGTAACTTTTTAAACATCTGCCCCACTTCAGTCCTCTGTTCTTTCTGGTATCCCACACTTTTTACCATAATTTTTTAGAAATACATAAGCACCAAAGTAGGGTTACACTTACAAAGCCAGTGGTTTCTGATAGTATATTTGATATTGAAGAGCCAGGAGACCTGGCATTTTCTTTGTGATCCTGAGTACGGGATTTCCCTTCTCTGCACCTCAATTTTCCCTCCAAAATGATGTTTGGGCTAGATGATCTTATGTTCTAAGAGGGAAGCAAGATTCCTTCACTGAAATCCAAGTCCTCCCTCATTAGCTCATTTATTAGTTATCAGTTAACACTTTAGAAGGGATGAGTGTATATGAGGAGGCCTGCCTGCTTGCTTGCCCAGAGAAAGCTCATGCTATGGGATACCAGATTTTACAGGGTAAGCCCACATTTGACAGCCTTATTCCCCCTGCTTGGTAATCTTGAGCTGGTCCCTGCTCCCTATTTGCATCAAGTGTAAATCTCTCAGTCTGGGTTTATAAAGTCCCCACCCACCCACCTACTCAAATGTGGCTTCAAACCGCTTCCTTCATTTCCCCTTCTCCTCCTCTTTATACCCCAACCTTGGCTTCAGCTAGGTTGGTCTCTACAACATTCTAAGAACTCACTATGCTGATTCCTTTGTCTGGAATTCTCTCTCTGCCCAGCTAAATCCTACTCATCTTCAAAAGACTCAGCTAAAGTTCTGCTCCCTCCAGGAAACCTCACCTAGTCCTCCAGCCTAGCCTATTTATCTTTTTCTTCTGAACTATCATATTAGCTTGAAGCATGCAACTGGACACTTCTATAAAATAAACATTCCTTATGTTCCCTTTTTTTTTCTCATAAACTCTTTTTCTCATGTTTTTTTTTCTTCTTAGTTACACTGTAGGTGTAAGTCAGGACTAGCTACTGATGTCCTGCTCTCTCTTCCACATTGCCTGTAGTAACCTAAGTCCAAAATCAGGCACCAAATATAAGAATTATTGATTGGCTGGTGAATCTTAATTCAATAGACATTTATTAAGCATTTACTCTAGTACGTACAAAACATTGTTCTTAAGGGATTAGGAAAACTGAGCTGCACTCTGGATGCCCATCCCATTCTTCCTGGTTCTACCTATACAGTCTTTGGGGCTCCTTTTGTCTAGGTACAAGAAAGCACAAGTCCTTAAAATCATCTGCCTTCATTGGGGTCCATCTATGTGCCCAGCCCCATGGGGAATATTACATAGGAACAAGACAAGGTCCCTATCTTCAAGGAGCTTTCAAACTTTGGGGGGCAGCAGTGCAGCAAGACCAACACAAATGAAGAAATAATTGCTACAGAATCACCAAGGAGGAAGAGGATCAGGCAGGTTGTTCTGGTGAGGGAATTTCATGGAGGAATTGGGCCCCAGTGGGCTTTTGGCATCTGGAAAAACAACCTCATCTAGGCCTTTCTGGGGAGTGCTTTAGCCCCAGAAAACCTGGAAAACCAACGAGTACTAAAAATGCCCCAAGTGTTGGGAGAAGGCTACCAGCTCATGCAATATTTGTCCTGCAATAGCTGTTACTTTAAAGCTATGGCTGCTTCTTTAACTAAAGTGTGTTAGCCTGAGCTCCCCAAACCTACGCAATGACCCTCAGAAAGTTGACTTGATGTGAACAAAATTGGCTCAGATTGATTGGTTGTCAAAGAACCCATGCAAAATCCTTATTTTACAGATGAGGTCCAGAAATGTAAAGGACATACTTTGCTTAGTTTTACGTATCAAAGAGGGGCCTCCTGCCAGATACTTTCACCTTTTCACTACTTTGCCTCATCTAACCCCTCCTATACTTTCCTGCCTCCACTGATTTCCTGTAGCCTTAGCTCATACATGCCCTACCCTCCCTGCCACAAAATTGAATCCACCTCACTATATGGGAGCAATCAGGTTCCGGAACGCCTCAGGGATGACCAGCTAGGGAAACATGACTTAAACATTTGCTGTCTATTTGTCCTTCACTCTCAGAAACACATAGAACTAGGGGGCTGCACCCACAGGCCTTCTTAGCTGTTCTTGGCAGGGGAGATGAACATGGACAGAAGCTCCCCATCCTACCCTGCCTCAAATCTCTAAGACTTACTGGGGAAGTCTGTCAGGGGCAGGGGTCTATAGTGGCAGGGCTATCTGCCAGGATTGGGTCCAGGCCAGGCTCTGCCTTGTTCCACCCCAATTTGCCTATGAAGAGTAGTACAGATCCTGCCTGGGGGAAGAATGTTACTATAGAGGCCTTGTTGTCTCAGGTGGCCTGAAAGGTTAAAGCTCAAGCAGAATGACTTAAAGAGCCAACCTGGGGTGGATGGAGATACAGCCATCCTCAGCTTGTCTTCCCTATCACCTCCCCTTCCACATGAATGCAAGTTGGGACCTTCCAAGTCTGAAAAAAGCAGCTTTCAGGATCCCAGGGTATGGGGCTTAGCCACAGGTTGGGAAATGACTTGGACAAAAAAAGGTGTGGTAGCACTTAGGACTGGAAGAGCTACCACCACTGGCCAGGCACTGAGGGCTGACTCATTGCTTCTTGTGACTGTAGAAGCTGGAAGAACAGGAGCAGCGTGCACGAAGGCTCAAGGACAGGCTCCGAAGTGAACAGCGAAGCCTGCGCCAACGGCTAGAACAGCTCCGAGGGCCAGCTGGGGAGCGGGAGCGTCTTCGAGTAGATAGCCTGGACTCCTCTGGCCTTTCTTCAGAGCGCTCTGATACTGATCAAGGTTAGTGACATTCCCCGTCACCCTGGTCAGAATTAGGGTGTCAGTGTGCACCCTAACGATCTCCCTAAGTGGGAAGCAGTGGACCCCAGAAGGCCTGGGCCACTGTCATAGCCTCTACTGGGGCCAGCAAGTGTATCCAGCACCCTTCCACCTCATCTCATGGCTAAAGTGTCCTGGCCTGCCCGCTATCCCTAAAGACTTCCTTTCTCAGTGACCTTCGACATGATTTTTCTTTGGTCTCTCCACAGAGGAGCTGGAGGTGGACGTGGAGAGCCTGGTGTTTGGGGGTGGTGCTGAACTGCTTCGAGGCTTCAGCACAGGCCAGGAGCACAGCTACTCTCATAGTGGCAGTGCTTGGCTATGATCCCTGCTGCCCACAGCAGGCACATAGCTCTCCCACTCTCTTGGCTGCACCAAGCTGCCCAGCCTGCCAGAGGAGCTGCCACAGACCTGGCGATGGTTGACTAAAGTGGGTTCCAGCTTGCATCCCTCATGATACTGGGCATTCCTGCAAAGCAGAAAATTACTGGACTGCAGAGGCTGCTGCTGGCTCCTGGAGCTATTTTAACTAGCCTCAGTTCCACCCCTTCTCTCTTATGTGGGCACAGACTGCAGCTTACTCCGTTTTGTGGGGGAAAACAGGAGTGAGCCATGGCCCTAATATGGAACTAAACAAGCAATGCAACCTTGTTCCCTGTCAGAGGTTATGGAAGGCAACCAGAGGCCTCTGACAAGGGGCTGACGTAGAGGCAGTCTGTTGCTCCCTGCCTAGACTTTTTTTTTTGTACGTTTTTTACAGCATTGATTTTTGTTCCTTTCAGGGCTGGGATGCAAATCTTCTGCTAAGCTGATTTGTCCCCAGCACTCAAGGGACCAGTAGCATTAAAGTGGGATAGAGCTGTATTCAGACTCTGGCTCTAGCTCCACAGACACCACACAGTATTTTCAGTAAAAAACTTTTTCTTAATTCTGCCTGCAGTCCATCTTATTTCTTCATGACTACAAAGAAAGGGTAAGCCAGTCACTAGCATGGTTCAAGGCTGATGGCTGGAAAACTTCATTATAAACCCAGCAGGATTACTTAATACCCCCAAGGCTCAGAAACCTCTACAAGCCAAGGACAGCACTGAAAATTGATTTTTAATGATAAATTACAACTCGGACACAGGGCAGGTAATGGGACAAGAGCTGGATTGTCTGTGGGCTTGCACTGTGCTGATGGTCTGCTCAGGGGCTGGGGCTCCGGGCCCAATGCCAGGTCTTGCCAAGAGGCTTCTCAGCCTTGAAGACCGGCGATCTGGGAAGGCAGCAGGGCCTTTCTGTTGCAGGAGAAGCAGCAGGGTGACTCCTTTAAACATACTGTTGCTGTTGCTGCTGCTGCTTCTTGGTGGCTGCCTTGCTGGCCAAGTCCTTGGCCTTCTCAGTAGCTGCCAGAGCAGTTTCCTTCGCTTTCTCAGTTGCTTCCTTAGCTGTTTCAACAAGCGTCTTAGAAGGAGCTTCACCTGCAAAAAGAGAATCTCAGAGTATCAGTTAGAAGGTACAATGAAGATCCCATCTCGCAATTTATATAACATATAAAGAAATAGAGGTTCAGAGAGAATAAGCCTTGCTCAAGATCACAGAGTTTACTATGGGGAATAAAAAGAATGTGAACCGAGAACTTCTGACTCCAAGTCCATCGATCCTTCCACCATACCATGATAAACCATGTTTAGGTCTTTCATCTGATTCAAGCTCTTCTGCAGCTACACACTAGAGAGTGTCTAGTGCCAGAAGTGTGAAGGACAGGGCTTAAGTACTAGTCTCATTCCCAATGATAGCTTGAGTGCTAGAAGGAATCTTAATCGATCTTTTTTCAAATCTGTAATTTTACTGATGAAAAAACTGAGGTCAAGAAAGGTTATATCACCTAACCAAGGTCATGCAAGTATTAAATGGTACAGACAAGATTCAAACCACGTAACTCCTCATTCAGCACTCTTTGGGTGGGGTGGGGTGGGGAGAGAGAACATGACAACAAAGGGGTGTTTCAAACTTTTTTTTTCTTGGAGTCCTCATACTTAGTGCCAGCACCTATATCCTCAGTTCCTCCCCAAACTCAAATCCCTTGGTTCTTACCTTGCAGTTTGGCCAAGATGTACTCAAAGCCTTTGATGGTCTTGGTCACGTTACTTTTGAATCTAGCTAAGCCAAACTCCTGAAAGGATGAGATGGGACAGGACAGGAAGAGTTAGTTGCCTGTTAGCCCTTCAAGTCACTGCCCATGCCCCAGGCCAATCCAGGATGCTCAGAGCTGTAGAAGAATCCAAGATTCTACCCCCACCTACACCACTTTCAGCACTTCACCAAAGTGCCATGTTACCTGTACAGCTCTGGAGACCCCAAACAAACTGGAAGAGACCCAGGCCTCTCGTCGGATTTCAGTCCAGCCACTGTTTTCAGGGTTCACACAGTAAACACATCTTTCCTCCACCACCTAGAATGAAATGATCACAAGTCTTCAGTAATCTAGAAGGAAGAACAAGATTCTACAGGGCCTAGAGCCAGATATCAAGAAAAAGGAGCTTTTATCACCACTCTATAATAATAGCTAATATCTATATGGTGCTTACTATGTGCTAGGCACTGTGCTATGTGCTTTACAATTATTATTTCCTTTGATCCTCACAACAACCCTGAGAGGCAAGTGATATTATTATCCTCATTTTACAGATGAGGAAACTGAGACAAATAGAGGTGAAGTGACTTGCCTATACTCAGTCTATTGGAGGCAGAAAGACCTTTAGAAGTCATTAAATCTAACAGTCTCAATTTACAGACGAGAAAACTATGGCCTAGAGAGATAAAAGTGATTTACCAAATGTCACACAGTAAAGTAATGGCAGGTCAAACTACTTTTCACTCTTCTTTCTGAACCATGCTGCTTCCCCTCTTTTCTGTGACTCCTCTAAATGAGTGTGTGCTAAAGAGACACTAACCATCAGCCGGGCATGGTTGATGTTCCAGGTGAAAGTGGTCATGGTCTGGTTCTGTGGGTCCACGATAGAGTCCTCGAGGATGTACACCGAGTGAGCTACATTAGCAGGAAAGAAGCGCTCCGCCCAGCGGGGCATCCTGTTGGTCTTTGTAAGAAGCCGCCTGGACAGCAGCTTCTGATCTGGAGTCACCTCCCGGTGCACAATATCCTCCGTCAGCACATGCTTGCTGTATGGGAAACACAACACAGGAAGTCAGCTTGGAAAGGTACACGATAAATTTATTAGGTACCTAAAAAGAAAAGCACTGCTCTCCATAAGAGATTCAGCTTTATGTTCAATTCCCTCCCCTGTTTCTACAACATAAGTGAAATGAAAACACAGATCTTATTTGGTATTTATTTAGTTCAGAATATTTAAAAAAAAAAAAAAAAGGAAGTCAATTCAAAGTTCCTCAAGTCATCCTGTTTGGGCATCCAATCTCCTCTTCGGCTTCTACAACATGGGTGAAAATACTGATCTCATTTGCTATTTGTCAAGTTCAGAATATTTTAAGAAATAAAAAAAAAAGGAAGTCAACTTAATGTTCAAGTCATCCTGTCTGGGCGAAGGAAGGGGCAGAAAAAGAGGAAACTAAAGCTCAGGCTTCACACCAAAGGTGTTCCCAGACAGAAGTCCTGCCCCACTTCCAATCCCGGAGCAGGTCAGGGTGGGGCCCAGGGCAAATTCCAAGCCTGGTGACCCTTCGGCCAAGCCGCCCCGTGTGACTCCCTCCAGATGCCATTTAGGAAGAGGCGCCCCGCAGGGAAGGTGCCCAGTACCTGAGAGGTAAGCGGCCCCTCCCCCACCGGCTCGGGCTCCCAGGACTTGATTCCAATGTGCTCGGGGTGGGGGGCTTCTCCTTCCCGGGAGTGCCAGCCCCTACCACGGGGGAGGGGGAAGGAGGCAGAAAGGTCTACGGCCACCACCTTCAGCGCCGCACGCACCGGAGGCTCTAGCCGTCCCCGGAGGTGGCTGGGGGGAGGGGGCCTCTGGGTCTCACGCCTTTCTCTGTAAGAGCTGAGGTGCGGAGTGGCCGGGGAGCCTCCCACCCTGGCCCGCAGAGGGTGGCGGGGTCGGACTCTCCTGCCCTCACCTGTAGGGGTTGGGGTAACGCTGCCAGAAGGCAGCAAACACTTGGTCCCAGGAGCTCCGGAGCACGCTCTGCCCCAAGAAATACTTCACCATCGTCCCGGCGGGGGTAGGGGTTGGGGCAGCGTCAGGGGGCGCAAGGCATCGGGGGGTAGGAGAGAGATGGGTCGCCGGGCTCGCGGTCTCCGTCACCGTCCCAAAGCCGCGGTCGCCGCAGCCTCCACCGCCACCGCCGTCGCCGCCGCCGCCATGAGGGGGTGTCTAGCCGCTCGGCACTTCCGGCCTCAGGCTGCCGCTCTCAGGCCCCGCCCCTTCCGCAGAGTGAATTTCCGGTGTCCCTATCACGTGATGCGTGTGGCTCTTCCCCCATTTCTCTCCCCCCACCCCACCCCCAACAGCTGGCTCCCTGCTGGTGGCTCTTGCGCCGGGGTCTCCGGGCACCGGGACCGGACGGGTCCCGGAGTGGCCGTGGCCGCGGCAGGAGGAGCGGGAGCATGCGGCCCCGGTAAGAGGACGCAGACCGCCCTCTCTCCAGCTCTCCCAGGCTTGTGGGAGATCGTAAGGTGGAGCACCCTCGACCGGCATTCCGGCCTGGGATCTCCAAGCGTGTGTGTGTGTGTGTGTGTGTGTGTGTGTGTGTGTGTGTGTGT